CGGGGCGGGGGGTTTCTGAAAGACGCCATCAATTTAGTTATTTTTAGCACGAAAATCGTTTTGCCATTGTATGCGCCTCAGACAAGAGCAGCAGGCGAGCAAGAGCGAGAGAGAGAGGGAGACAGAGGTGAAAGCAGGAGGAGGAGGAAGCCGGTGGGGCAGCGGCAGAAAGCGAGCTGCCTCTGTTTGCTTCTGTCAAATGCAAAGCGTCTTCGTCAGCTGCAGTTGGAGATTGCCCAGAAGCAGCCTCCCAGCGGTTGTCTAAGAGGCGTGGCGGGGAGCATGTAAGCTAAGAGAAAGATAGAGAGAGAGGGAGGGAGAGGGGGAGAGAGCCTCTCTGCTGATCCATTACAATGAACGGGTGGGTGCTGAGAATTTATTTGTTTGTTTGTCTGACATTTGCTCTGTCGCCGCTGAGCATTGAGCAGTGAGGGGTGAGGGGTGAGGGTGATGGCCGGGGGGGAGGGGTGTAGGTTGGATGTGAGGTATGTAGCTCCACCAATTCATTTGTCCCATTTGCTGTTGTGGCAACGCTGACAAACAAAAATTTGATCAATATTTCTGTTGCCTCTCACACACATACTCTCTCTCTCTCTTTTTCTCTCTCCCTCTCTCTTTCGCTCTTTCGCTGTGGCGTTCGCTCTTGTTGGAGTCAAAGTCAGTTTATTCCACGTGCCGTGACTGCTACCAGCCTGCTTATTAGCCATGAAGGTTGCCGCAAAAACGCAAAGCGAACCAACAACAACAATAACAATAACAACAACAACAACAACAAAAGCAACAGCAGCAACAGCAGCAACAGCCTGGCAAAAAAGAATCGCATAATAAAACAAGTGGAAAAGCTCTAGTTGAGACTGCTCGACTAGGAGATCCCCTGAATCCTACGAGCAACTGATATCTCGATAAATCTTCAAATCTTTTTTGCTTAGACAGGACACAATATACCTGTACACACACACACACACACACTCACATACTTTAGCTAACATGGGCTACTGTGTGGGCTTGTTTTGGGAGCCTTTTTGCTTAATCACTTTTCTTGCAGACTTCATCTTCATAAAAGGAGATCAAAAATGCAACTGCCAGCTACATGAATATTAACAAACCCAGTATACCCTAATTTCCCATTTTCAATGGGTGCAGGGTATACAAAATATATATATAGATATATATACATGGATATAAGCGTATGAAAATCAACTAAAATGGAAAACTCTTTGCTATGACACTGTCAATTTGCTTGGACAGGCATTCAGGCAGGCGTGCAAGACAATATGGAGAATGCACACAGAAGTGCTTTGCATATGTATTTGTTATGATCCAAACACGCTCTCAGTCATACTTCCTCAAACTAACGCCCCACTCTGCGCGCCCCTCCGGCGCGCCACGTTGCGTATGCGTCACGACAATTCAACAAATTGCGCATGCGACGCGTTGGCCATGCCAAGCATCAAGCATTAACAATATTTGCGTTGACTACGTCTTCTTCTTCTGTCTGGCATTGTGTGTGGTCAAAATAAAAAGCAGCTAGTCCTTAATATTTACTGAGATATATTTATCGGGCATACAACTTGCTGAAAGTAATGTTTGGTTTCCTATGAACATCTGAGATATATCTGAGCTTCATTAGATATTGTGCACGACCAACTGCATAATACTCGCTCACGCCTCAGATAAATCACTTTTGATACTTATCTTTCATTTAACTGCAGCTCTTTTCTACATTTTCTATTGCTATATACATAATATAGCTGATCAATAGTAGTTGATTAGTTTTTACCGTTATCGCTGTCATCCATTATATTTAAAGTAAAACAGAATCTATGCAAAAATTATGTAGTCGTTCCACTCTAATCTGCGAGAATATATGTACATATAATTGGATATATAGTTTCCGTCAATTAATAAAGGATTTAAATAACGCTTCGTAATTTGTGAATATAGTTTTTAGACTCTGAATTAGGTGGAGCCACATCTGTACACCTTGAGGCTCTGTACACTCTATAATGCCAATATTTGATTGAGTAGGATGTCGAACTAAGACGAACCATTCGCATCTATAACTCATTTTGAAGATGTTAAAGGGGATAACTACGAAATTTACATATATTTTATATATTGTATTTTTCTCGGGCATATCCTGATTTTTTTTCGATAAATCATCTCGTTTTCTAATGATCGATTCACCTTGGAAGAATAAGAATAAGAATCAGGAATAAACTAGCAAATCCATCAAATGAGTAGCAGCGTTCTATAGCTCTGTACCTAGGCTTAGGATTGCCAAACTGGTTATAGGTTGACAAGAATTGAGCTTTAAGTTATAATAGATGTCACTCTTCTGGCCATTTGAACTAAACATTTTGATAGTCTCGATAATCAGATATCATAACTAAAACAAGATTTGAGATGTGATCAGTTCTCGTTAATTGTGATACAATAGGTAAATTCTAGGAATTGGTTTATACACGACCTGCCTATAGCTGAATATTGTTGAATAACCGACAAACATGTGTCAAGGTGTCTCTTATTTGATTAGAAAATATCGTAGACATTTGAATAGCATATCTCAAATTTGAGCAACTTTAATATTGCAATCCATATTTCATATTTGTCATAATTGAAAGCCATTGCCTGCCGCAGCTCGGCAGTGCATGCTGTAGGAAATATGCGGGTCTACTACATATATGCATATGGAGGTTAAATGTGACCGACAGCAACAGCAGCAACAACGGCAGCAACAACAGCAGCAGCAACAGCAGCAGCAGCAGATATTGTTGTTGACAATGTTGCAGATGTTGCTGATTTGACCTGCAGGAGCAGCAGTTGAATAAACGACTGCTTTATGGCAACGGCAGCAGCTGCTACACACACACACACACACAGATATGTATTTTTAGTATTAACTGTTACGAAATCAACAAAAAAATAATATTTATATATATATATCTCTGTGTGTGTGTGTGTGTGTCTGTGTCCAGGAGGTGGTCTGAAAAGGGGAAAAAAGAGCAACTGCTGAGGACGAGGCGAACAACAACTATGAATAAGGCAGGCGGAACAGCCGCACGATTCGCTAAATCCGAATTGAAATGTTGCCGCCTCGGCTAGCAGCAACAGCAACAACAACAACAACATGTTAAACTAGCAACAACAACAACAGCAACTATAATACATTAGTTACAGTCACAGCTTTGTCAGAGTTCACGAGTTGCCAGCCGATGAGCAGCCGAGTTGAGTTAAAGTCGAGCATGTATGTGTAAGTGTGTGTGTGTCTATGTGTGTGTGCGCACGTATGTGTATGTGTGCATTGCTGCTACTCATGCTGCAGCGCGGCATTTAGTTAAGTTAGCCATGAAGTGAACTCAACTGAACCGAAACACTCCCGAAATTGAGCCCGAGCACGACAACAACTACAACTATATATATATGTGTATATGTACATATATTTGTGACTGTTTGTGTGTGTGTGTGTGTGTGTGTGTGTGTGTGCCTCAAGTGGTTTGTCTGCGCTCTGCTTTTGGCTTAGATTTCTGGCCAATTGTTTGGCATTTTTTGAAGAAGTCACAACGCGCTGGCAGACAGCGCGAGTCTGGCCCCCAGTTCCTGTTAGCCAGCTCGTCGGCCCAGTTAACAACACACACACACATATTTACACGCAGCTAACAGCGCGAATGACTTCGTGCGTGTGCGTGTGCCTGAGTTTCGCTAGTGAGTTGCTCGCTCTCTCTCTCTCTCTCTCTCTCTCTCTCTCTCTCTGTCCTGCTCGCTCGCTCGCGCAGTCAGCTCGCTGCTGCTGCGGCTGTTGGCGCTGCGGCATTGTCAACAACGCGCCGCAGAGTTCATACAATTATGGCACGCGGCCCGTTAAGCACGTGGCTCTGACTGATAACAGCAGCGGCCCAGTCAGAGGCTAGCGAGCGACTCTCTCTGGCTCACAGTGTGTATGTGAGCGTGTGTTTGTGTGTGTGTGCATGCGTGTGACATTCATTGCAGTTCTAAGTGCCGCGCGCTAATTCAAACTTCAAATTTCGTTTGTTTGTTTTTTGTTTTTTGTTTTTTTTTTTTTTTTTTTTTTTGTACTCAACTCACTGACCAACACTGTGATAAACAAGCAGCCCATCAAACGAAAACCTTTCCTCATGTGTGTGTTTTTTTTGCTTTCTTCTCATGTGCAACAGTGCAAAATGCAGTGAAAAATATATGAAAACTCATGTGTTTCAACTGTGCTCAACAAAATATACAAAAGAAAATAGAAATAAATTAAATAAATTAAAGAGAAGTAAATTAAATGTTATGTAATGAAAATACAAGCAGCTAAAACTGTTAATAAAACAATGAAAATGAAATTAAATAAAAAAGTTAATAATAAAGAAATAATAATTGGCACCAATAAAAGATAATATTAAAGATTAGATTAAAGTTTTAATAACTCAAATTTATTAAACTTTCTTAAATATAAATATTATAAGATTTAATAATATAATCATATAAATATTATATCTCAAAAATTTTTTTGTTTAATAATTGCAATACTTCAAGCATTTATTAACTATTGCAAAAGCAAAAAAGTATATTTTTTTATGTACTAAAAAAGCATCCTAAAATAAAAATTTATAATAAAAATAGATTTAAACAAGTAAATAAATAATTAAACCAATAAAACTGAAAAGAAAAAAAACGTTCAAACTTTAAATGCAATGCTCAAATAATAAATAATAAACAAAACTAAATAAATTTGTAAAATAATGAAGTTTTAAAAATATTAATAATACTAAACTCTATCAAAACTCTAAATCCTTAATGCACAAAATGCTGTTCAAACTTTAATACCAAATAAATGCAAACATAGCTACAAAGAATTTATTTTCAACTTTTAAATATTAATAACAACATACACAGTTTATGTGTTAAAAAAAAAAAAAAAAAAATATTTTGGAAGCACTTATAAAAGTAAATAAAGTCCAATAAAACTCTAAAACAAAATTAAGAAACGCTCAACGTTCAATAAAAGTGAAAAGCTCAAAATTTTGCATCAATTGGTTTCAACAAACGCGCAACAATGAGTGCAAGCAACGGCAACAACAACAGCAACAACAACAGCAACAGCAACAGCAACGGCAACAGCAATGGCAATAGCAATGGGAATGGCCATGAGCGAGAGCAGCAGCCACAGCCACAGCCACAGCCACAGCCACGAGCACGAGCAACAGCAACAGCAGCAACTGCAACTACTGCCAGCAACACGCGTCAATTTGTGGATATTGCAACAGCAACAACAATAACAACATCAACGTCTGTCATGCCGCGCCCTGCCACAGCGCCGGAGCGTGGCAGACGCACCAGCAGCAGCAGCAGCAGCAACAACAACAACATCAACAATAACAATTACAGCAACAACATCAGCTTGCCAGCCAGCAGCAACAGCAACAGCAACAGCAACAGCAACAACAATCAAAAGCAACAGCATCAGGCCAGCAACAACAATCACAACAACAGCGAGAGCAGCAACAGCAGCAGCTTGATGGTCAGCGGCATCAGCAACAACAACACGGCAGCAACAATATCGCACAGCAGCAACACGAACAGCAGCAGCAACAGCAACAGCAACAACAATCACATCTATGTGAATCCGCATAGCTATGACAGCAACAGCACCACCGGCAGCGGCAACATCAGTGGCTCGACGGCAATCATGCTGCCGCTGCCGCTGACGCTGCAACTGCTGCCCGACCAGAGCAATGCGAGCAGCAGCAGCAATGGCCTCAGCCTGGGCGCCATCAGTCGGCCGGGGACAACGACAACGCTCAGCACCCTGAATACATATCTGTTTCCGTGTGGTGCCGACTCGGCGGGCACCATCGGCGGCGGCACCTTCAACGGCAGCGCCAGCTGCGATCTGGACAGCAACTTCAGCCAAATGGTGGCTGGCGGCAGCGAGGCGGGCAGCTCCACGGCGCACAGTCCCTGCCCCATGGCATTTGCGGCGGGTGGTGCAGCGGCCGGCGGCGGCGCGGCCGGTGCGGCGGGTGGTGCGCTGGGACTGGCTGTCAACTTTGGTGGCTTCATCAATAAGCGGCGCATACGCAAGCTGTTTGGCGTCGGCGGCTCAGCGAACGGCGACGGCTTTGGGCCCTACGGCTCCGCGTTGCGGCGCCGCAGCTCGCAGCTGGTGCAGTTCCACAAGAAGAAGCAGCAGATGGAGCAGCTCGAGCAGCAGCAGCGCATTGCCACGGTGGCCTCGGCGAACGCGGCGTTTCTGGAGAAGCGCGAACAGCAACAGCTACAGCTGCAGCAGCAGCAACAGCAGCTACAGCTGCAACAGCAGCAGCAACAGCCAGCGATTTTGCTGCTGCAGCCGCAGCCCGAGAAGAAGAAGAAGAAGCCGCCAGGACCGCCCCCACAGGTGCGCCAGCAGGCATCGCGCACCATGGACGATCCGCTAATGAATCGGCCGCGCAAGAGCACGCCGGCATCTGGCAAGAAGAAGGACAAGGACAAGGAGAAGGACTTCTACAAGGACTATGGCTATGAGAAGTACCCAAAACACAGCACAAATTATTCAAAACCAATCAAAATAATCAAGCAACACCTGCTACAAAATCAAATGATGAAAATCCACCTGCTAAACTAGCTTAAAAAATATTTATATTTAATGTTTTTGCCTTAAGTTATATCTCTTAAGTTGCTCTCTCTCTCTCTCTCTCTCTCTCTCTCTCTTTATCTCTCTCTATATTTTTATCTATCTATCTCTATCTCTCATTGTTGGCTTTGTTAGTTGGCAACAATTTGAATAAATGATTATCTAAAGCATATCAAAGTTTGCAGTTTTCTTTGGCTTCAATTATTTTCGTTTATTCCTTTGTAAACATCCACTGCGGCTTCAGCTTCAGCTTCATAATTAGTAAATATATACATTGTATACATATATCTTTATGTAGTAGCATATCATCATTATCGCCAACAAGTAGCCTTTGCACAGCTTTTATATTAATACAAAGTTTGGCTTTACAAATAAATAAAATATATACTAGATAATACATATGCTTGCTTTGCAATTAAGTTTAACCATCTAAGCTGATTCTGATATCCTTAAATATAAATATATTACATATATGATGACAGTCTGAAGAAACAGTGAGAATATCTCTGTGAGTGGAATGGAATCAAACTATAAAATGGGAACTGTCTCATATATTGTGTTTATCTACCTAGATATACCTATTGGAGGGACTATATTGTCTATAATTGTATCCATCTGAAGACTCATTTTATATTCCTATTGACTGTAATCTGAATTAATTTTGTTATCGGTTCTTGAATTATACATATTTTTACCTTTAACAATATTATCGCAATGCAATAGAGCCTTTAAAAAAATGTGATTTTAGAAACTGATGAGAGGATAAGGTTGAGACTTGTATGCTTGGAAGTGTATTTGTTTTGTCATTTGAAGGAATCAGGAACTTGACTCTTCATAAATTGCAGTTAGTCAATGGCAATGTCATGCTTGAATATACTTGTGCTATGAATTGATCACGATGAGATGGGACTTACAAACTGACTTGAATGATATTAAAGATCGTGTTGTTCTATTATGTATAAGTATCGTATAACTATAATATTATTGCATGCTCTCAGAGTATCTTGTCTAAGTTTTCCAACTCGTGACTCTCTCAGACCGTGATGAGTAGTGTTGCAGTGTCATAAATGTAAGGCTGAGAGCCTCTACAAATGATATGGGCGTTGTTAATAGGTAATCTGAGTTAGAGCGAGATGGCTAGAGAGGCCATTCGGAGAGCATTGGCATAGTCTCAGTGAACGTAGAGTAGGTGACTGGAAATTAACATTTTGCAGAATCACAATGGGAAAGAGATAGTGATTTTTATCAAAGAAAAAAGATTTTAATCAAAGAAAATAAAAATTTTTGTATGTTGACTATAATATTGGATTTATTTAGTGTAAGTAAATTTATTGAATATGAAAACTCTCAAATGGCTGCATTGAGCCGGTACGGCGTATTGTTCCCGTCTGTATCAAATGATATAGGGTTGCCAGATGTGTGCATTGAAGTCTTTCCCTGTTTTGCTATTCTTGAGTGTTCATATAGTACAGATTAGATATATTTTACATACATCCTTGGCTAATATCATGTTTATAGCAATTAAGGTACTTCAACCTTTGCAGACGTTGAATACAATCACAACTTTTTCTTTTATGATCTGCCATAAAAACTGAAAGATTTTGATGATTTGGTGTAGGTGCTGTGTAGATAGATTTAATAGATTTAATCTATTTGAATCGGTTTTGAGCTATAAACTAATGAAGTTTATGGCATCTGTGATTTATAGCCCAATTCATTTATAGCACGAAGCAAGTCAAAAACGATGCTTGCTTATCAATAGGAAACTTCATTCTCTGCTAGCTAAACCAAATAAGAATTGGTATGGCAGGCTTGTGATTGCTCAGCTCTGGCTGCACTGATTGCTTTTGCAGCTGCACAGCGGGGCGTATGCGTAATGTGAGCAAACTGCAGGCGCAACGGGTTCAACAACGCCAAATGCGAGTCGAGTCGAGTCGAGTCGAGTCATTGCCCTGCCGCATGGAGACAACGACTTCACAATGGCTGGCAACTTCCGCCTAGCCAGTCGAGCGCTCTTCTTCTGCCTTTCACTGCCTCTGGCTCTGGCTGTTCTTCTTCTTCTTGTTATTTTTTTAAAACACATTTTTGCCAGACGGCGCCGTCGCTGTCGCCATTGTCGCAGCCAAAAGTCGCAGAAAGTCACAAAAACTCGCAAATATCTGATTCCATAGCCAGAGTCGAGTTAGCAGCACAAATACAACGAATGTGCGTAGTCATCTGTGCGACTAACTGGAGCCGGCATAATTCAGCACTCACACTCATACATACATATAAATATACACACACAACTCACACAGCTACAGCAATTGCCTAATAGCAAATGCTTCATTACGTATACGCCGTGTTGCATAAGACGAATTATTGTAATTAATATGCATAAGCATACGTGTGTGTGTGTGTGTGTGTGTGTGTGTGTGTGTGTGTGTAGGTGCACGCACATATGAGCACGTGCTTAAGTGTTTTAACACATGAGTTCAAGGTCAACGTCAAGGGCTCTCCCCCTAATGCAAAATTCAATGTCGCGAAAGTGTTTCACTTCACGAATTTCGGCTGATTAGCAAATTAATTCAGCTTTTGTTTAGTTTAATTTGAGTGTGTGAATTCAAATGCTTCAGAACTCCTTGAACTTCTAAGTGAAGCACTCCAATTAGGCAAATATTTATGCTTAAGTAGATCTTTCGAGATAACGATGGAGGCAAGTAAAAGTGCTCTGGTTGGGTGTACTCGTTTAACAGATACCCTGAAGTCACACACACATACACACACACACACATAAGCAAACACCTTATGCTGCTGCTGGTCTGCTCTTTGCTAAATTGGTTATTCAAGCAATTTTCTTTAAGATTTACTCTTAATATCATAATGGAATTCCAAACATAAAAAACAAATCTGAATTGTAAGCTATTTTTGAATTTGTTCTTAAATAGCTGCTGTGAGAGGGCGAGTACAACATATCCGCAAACATTTCGAGGCAGCGTTTTGCCACACGAAGCTTTATGGTCGATTTGCTTGCTTGGTTTCATGGCTTTCAACCAATTCATAGCAACGATAAAAAGCTAATGGATTGAGTTATCGTAAAACTCGTGCTGCGCATTGTCTGACATTGTCTTTAACCTTTGTATTTGAGGAGAGAGATATGGGGCATATGCATGGGGCAGACAGACAGGCAGACATGCTGCGATTGACTCAGCTCATTCAGCTGATTGGGAATGGATATATATGAATCTATATTTCTATCTCTATATTTGTATTTCCTATATTTGTATTTCCTTCTACTTGACCTAAACTCTTTCCTTACTTTAATAACACAGAGCACTGACATTTTCAATAGATTAATTCGTTATCTGTTATCTCGATAAGTCGAAATGACAGGGAATTATTTTTTTTGTTTTTCGATTTACACATATAAAAACTATCGAGAGTTATAGAGGGCGAATTTTTTGAAGGGAATATATTTTTTTCGATACAAGTTAGCGAGACTAAACTGTAGCTAGTCACATTCATTTCATATACATACATATAATATGATGGGGCTCCCTTGGAGCAACAACACAATTTGATTCGTCTAAAATAAGAGATTTTTTTTTATTACAATGAAAAGATAATTACACGTGGTTACTAACCTAAAATAAGAGAATCAACAATTAAATGTTCATGCCCATATTCTTCATTCAGTTGAGACTTTAATTAATGCTTAACTTGTATGAGATAATTATTATTTAACTTAAAATTAATTTTATAATATTTGATATAATATAATATTCATTTAATTTCTTATTGAACTTCGCTTTGTTAACTCTCTCTTGATATAGTACAGTTATAGCTACCCAGCTGATCTTATTCGATAGGTTATTTGCATACATCGATATGTGGCTCACATATGCATGTATGTAAAGTTCACCAACATATGATCAGTGAACTACATGTACACAAAGCTTACATATATATTAAGCTGGCAATAAATCTTTAGATAACAAATTTTTCTTTATAAGCTAAAATGAGTTTGAAAGTCCGAAATTTCCCTCATCTGTATCTTTTTTAATCATCTAACTATTGATATGCGAAGAGCCACTATCGCAATTGTAGTCTTTTTTGATTATCTGAATTGGTCTAAATTAGGGACAACTGTTTGAGCTGTTTGACATCCTGACAGCAATAAGAGCTAATTCGGTTTCCTTCAATCTACGCCAGGCAGTGCAGCCTTGTATATCTTGAACAGTTTCCATATGCAAATCGATATTTATATTTGACGACAGCTATGATTTCTGTTAGTCTGTTGCCATGCGATTTAAAAGCCATTGCCACATTTATTTTCATTGACATTAAAATATATTTTTCAGCCGTCAAATGAGAATGGGATATAAGTTAATCTATTTGAATAGATAATCTGTCTAATCTGTTTAATTTTGCTTAACAAATATAACTTGATATTCTTGCACATGCATTTCTGAAATATTCCGTTACTAAAATGACGATATACTTTTCAATGATTGAGAACTGATATATCATATAAATATTTTAATTATAACGTAGCACCAAAGCGCGACCATTTCTATTTGAAATCCATATCAAATAAGAACATTCTTATGCATAATCTACCATTTGCCTCTAAAAATAGCCTTTTCCTATTGCCATCGTCTCCCATGGAGTGTAATTGGAATTTGGGACACACGCAACTCTTGCACGTCCCTCTACTCTATTTTGAGGATGGTCTGTAGTCCTTCAAGCTGAAGGCGTCGCCACAGCAGTTAAAACAAGTAAGAAGGCTCTAGTCGAGACTGCTCGACTAGGAGATACTCTGAACCCTCCAAGCTGATATTCTAATCATTCTGCACTTTTTCTATGCACACATGCATCCAGACGCACATATAACAACGCGCTCTGCTGGCGGCGC